GACTTCTATGAAACTCCTAAATAACTCCTATTAAGATCTTTGTAGGAATTATTTAGAAATTTGATAGAAATTCCGTGACACAAATGCCAGAAAATGTTGACAAGTTCCAGAAATTGGAATATTACTGTATTTTCTCAATTGTTCCAATTTTGGAAATTTACTTTATGTCATTGGAAGCTAGAATTTTATATTAAAAACGACGACAGGAACCAAGGGGGAAGAAGTTTACACGATCGAGTCAAAAAGTTGTAGATTAAACGGCGTGTTTTCGACAAGGGATATTTTTGCTGAGAAACCGTCAATCCTCGTGCGGGGAGGCGTTCGATCCATCGTCGTTTCAAGCCGAGCTTAAGCTATCGGAGCTTTGGGTCGGCCGTATACGCGGCTGGGTGATATAAATATCGCGCTTTATGTAGGAAATAACGCGCAGCTTTTTCCCTCCCCGGTGCCGCGTTAAGCCTCGGTCCCGGCTTAAATGGTCTATCGTAACGAGAGAAATCGCGCGCGATTCTGTCTCGCGTTCGATTCCCCTGACAACATTCGCCACTAACAATAGCAACGTGTTTCCCGTTCTCAACGTATTTCTCACCGAACTCTTTGTACCTGAATTGTTATTATCGAACTCCGTTATCCTTGTTACATGCACATTCTTGTAATAATAATAATAATAATAATAGTAATAATAATAATAGCAACAATAGCAACAACGAATTGCAGAATTAAAAATTGACTTACCTCAAAATTAAAAATAAAAACTGCATTGAGTTTAACGAAGTAATAATACTTTTTCATTTCGTGTTAATATATTGCAACGATAACGTTTATTATTAACGATTATAGATGAATTAATTATACGTCATAAATGAATTCATTAAGTATGCAGGTCGTACACATAATATACGACATTAAGGTTAGATGCTATTTTAGGAGTGGATGAAGGAGCGTGCTTGAATCCATTGTAAACTTTAAACAAACAGGAAAGCTAATACTGGTAGTAAATAATGAAGATTTTCATAAGAAAATGACTTCATGTTAGCCTTTATTTTCTACAGCACATGCACTCTCTTTGAAGCCTTTTTGGCTACAATAGTTGACATTTCAATATAAAATACAGTATTAAAGGTAAAAATAGCAGAACATATATCAGTATAATTTTTTGATAATTTCTATTAAGACTTCATTTCTCAAAATATTACTTTAATAATTAATTGAAAACTTTATTTTATATTTTTTAATCGCTGTGTTAGTTTGAACTTATGAAATGAATTTGGATAACAGAACTGTTGCATCTATACTGCATATGCAAGGAACAAACAGAATCACTTTATAAAATAATATAAAAAGGCTTTAGATTTAATTAATTAAATCTCAGTCGTGTAGTCGTTTTAACAGTAACAATTTTTGTTAAACGGCGACACTTAAAATAAAACCGTCGCTGCTTTCATAGCTCGGCTCATATCCATTGTGATTGTTTCGCCGGGCACGCCAACCAAAAACTGTCTGGCATTTGACGAATGAACGAAAGAAAGAGTTTAACTCAAAAACGGAAGGTGAGAGATAGACAAGTTCAAAGAGAAATATCCTGTAAAAAAGCAATCCAAGATACTATTTTCATTCCTTTCATCTCCACTGCAATTGTTTATTTATTATATTTATATCAGAATTCAGAAAAATGTTTTGATGTTCGTTTAACTCTGATGTATTTTAAAATGAATAAATCTATTTGCATTTGTTGAACTACGAGAGGAAATGAATTGTCCGAATCCCAACGAGTACGGAATTCATATAAAAGCAACTTTCAATACTGTCGACAAGCAAATATAGTGAATTTTTATTGCCTCGCTATAACATTTTGCGTGGGGAGGAACGATTTGCATCAGGTCTGAAATAACACGTACAATAAAAGGAAAGAGAGGCATTTCACCTGGAAAATACAGACTGCATAAAATAAAAATATGGTACCTAGGACTTAAATCAGACGAGAGAAAATTAAACGAATTCACGCTGTTAGAACTTTGAACAAGATTGAGAATAAGAAAACTGATCACAGGGAAGGGCAATTTCTAAATAATTCATAAAACAACCAGAAAGTGCAGAGGTAACTTCTTAGCATAAAATAAATTTGGCGGAAGACGAAGAATAAATAGAAAAATAGAAAATGCAACAAGCAATATAAACAAAAGAACGGTGTGACGAATTGAAGAGACATGCGGCATGTTGGAGAAATAGCAAATAAAACTGTAGAGCGAGAGGCACGCGGTAAGAGCGGAAGCTGGGTGCGCGTGGTAGGTAAATAAAATAAAAGTCAAAGAGACACGCTTCGATGGGACACGAGTTTCCACAACGAATCGCACGAGGCAGGTAACTTCGACGTGGGAGAGGACGAGCATTAAAACTAGTCGAAACGAGAGATATTTTTCGAATACGACGAGAACGTGCGCGGGAGGAGGAGGAAAAATTTCAACGCTAAACGACCGAGGGAAGAAAAGGTCAAACATTGTTCGGGCGTCCAAAGAATCCGGCAGACCCGAACAGTGGGAACTTAGCGAGAGGAAGAAACTAGCCTGTAAACGTGCATTCGTAAATACGAAACTCTGCTCGAACCCGAGGTGAATCGGTAGATAAGGAAGAAGCGAGCGACGTGCAACTGGAGTGCTCCGGTTCGAGGGGAGGTACCAAAAACTGAGATCGGTTGAAGAATGAGCGCCGGTACAATTAGCGAAACGGAGAAATTCGAACGCGAGCAGGAGGCTGGATCAACAGAAACTGCCTGAAGAAGGAAATGAGATAAAGAGCGTCGGCCTCTCTTCGTTCTCCGTACGTCTGCTCTCTTTCCGTCCGCGTTGCAGGAGCCGGAGGAGGACAGGAGAGCGGGAGAGACAGGGGGACGCGCATCCCGGGGGTTGGCGCGTGCGCACGTCTGGGGGTTGGAAAAGCGGTGGCGAGCTGCTGAGAGCGCCCGGGACGCTGGCTCGCGTGAACGCGAGCGGACGCGACGAACTTTCGGGAGGAGAGGAAAGCGTGGACGCTACGCAGGGTGAGAAGATGCCGAGAAGGAAGAAACCGGAGGGTCCGGGGGTGTCGAGGGTGCGAGATAAAAGGAGAAGATCGAAGGCCCGAGACGAGAGGGAGACGAAGCGACGCGATACATACTGGGTGAGGAGAAGCGTCGAAGGGGTGGGAATAGACAGCGAGACAGAGAGAGAGAAAGAGAGAGAGAGAGAGAGAGAGAGGCAGGAACAGCAGGGAGAGTCGGTTTAGAGCGTGCGCAGCGCGGAGGGAACGAGAGGAGAGGAGGCCTGGAAAAGCCGGGAGTGTTCGTTCGAGTAAGCCCTCTCGGGCCACGTCCTCTCCTCGCGGCGCCGCGTTTCGCAGTCGACGTTTCACCGTTTTCCGCGAGAGGGAAAAACTACCGTCCCTGTCTTCCTCGTTCTCGTCCTCGCGGCTCGTCGATCCTTCCCAGTTTTCGCAGTGCGGTGGGTCCACCGGGAACGGTTAAAAGGCCCGATGATTCTCGCGACAGAATCCACCCTTGTTCACCCAGAGAGGAGTCCTCCGGCTGCACAGTAGAAAACAGTCGGCACACCACCGACCGACCGACCGACTGACGACCGGAGCGCCGTCAGCGGATGGAACCGTGAAGGGTGCGGGTACGCGCGGTAGCGAGGGAACGCGGGAGAAGGAGAAAGAGAGACAGAGAGAGCGCGCGCGGGAGTAGTGTAGAGAGGAGGGGAGGGGGAGGGTGGTTAGGGGGCCGGGGAGGGTGACGAAGGTGCTCCAGCACTCCGCAGCATCCGAGCCACGGGGAAGACAAGCGTCCAGGGGTGGTGACCTGCAGTCCGCTCCGCGAATCCGCTTCCCTTCACCTCGCGATTCTCGTGATCCTCTTCCGCGATCCGCGGATTAACATCCTCGGTGCTCGCTGCGGAGTCGTTTAAACAATTTCGTCGAAAACGGACAAGTCAACAGGATACATTCCGTCGTGTCTCTCGTGATCGACAGGTTAAATCTTTCGGTGTTCCAATAGCTCGTTCGAGAACCGGAAGAAACTTTCGTTCCGGTCGTCCCGATTTCTCTCCGCGATCGAGACATCGATTAACATCGCTCCTGGTGTCAGTTTGATAAGGACAAGAGGTTCGATTGTGATCCAGAGATTGATTAACGCTTCCAGTGATCGTAACCGGATTGAGTTCTCACGATACGAGGGGGGGATAATTGTGGAACGGTGAGGACCGAGGGAGAATCGTTCGGTTCTGTGTACCTGTCGATGCGCCCCCGTGGCAATCGGAACGATCGATCCTCCCGTACACGGACGCGTACTTCCGGGGATCGTCGTTCCGGCGTGGTTTAATTAGAAGAGCGTGCGCGACCGATCGAGCGGGCAGCCGGCGTACTGCGTGCCTCTGAATGTGCTCCTCTCGTCTCTCTCTTTCTCTTTCGATCCGGACCGAGGCAGCCGATTTGGTCCCGTGACCTTGTGACACACCGAGGAGTATCTGTGCCTCGCAAGGAGGCATGCGGAGGACCAAGCGTTGAAGCCAACACACCCTCTCTGGCCCGGCGAACGCGTTCCCCCCCGTTGCTTCCCTGCTCGCGTGTTCCTGCGACTGTCCCTCGTTTCAGGATCGCAATTGATCCAAAAAGTGATTTTCTGTTTGAAATAGAAGCCTGGAGGGAAGGATTCGTAGAATCAAAATAATACAAAGTGATCTTCGACGTAAAGGATTTTGGAAGGACTGAAATAATTTAAAAGTGATATTTCATTTGTGGGAAGACTTTCGTACGATGTCGAGACTGTCTGTATTGTTTTATTGAAGTGAGGTGGGTTTCAAAGTGCCAAATACGTACCTGAAGAACAATCCCGGGAAAAGAGATCGAAGGATCAGATAAGCGGAGAATTTCGAGGGAGAAGTGTCGGGCAAGGAGGAGATCACAAGGCGGCAAGAGGGAGCCGAAGCACAGCCCCGGGGTATCGAAGAACTGGCAGAAGTATGAGCGAGGGCACGCCGAAGTCCCAGGGCAAAACCGTGTCCGACGGCTCGCCGGCTCGCATGGAAGCTGGTATGCTTGCTCTAACTATAAACTATTCCCGAACTACGTAGCGTGTCTCGCCGGACACGCAACAAGACACGCTATTCAGTTTATGTAAACAACATTGGTCCACCCGGTAGAATTGAGATCTGAGTGAGCAGTGTGATTATTCGTCCGATCGAACTGTTCAATCCGGATGACGATTCAGGCTGTGTTTGAACAGCGCGGTTGGTCCGACGAAATAAGACTTAGAGCAAACGTGTTCGATTTAATCAGAATGTTATTTACACCGTTCGCTTTCAGAGAACGGTGTAATCAGTCTAGCAGAATTTCAAAGTTTTTTTAGTTTTAATTAGTTTAAAAAATCATTTCGAATTTGCCAATATTCAAAATGTAGTCAAAAGAGAAGCAGAGTAAATAATGGACATTAACATTGTTGACTTTCAGTTGTAATTTAATCCTACATGATATTCGAGATTGAATGATAATAATCGACGCTGGTATCTCTAATCGAATGAAATAAAAATATATCACTTTTACATTAAATGGTAATTTATATTGTTCTCTTTGATCTCAATTCTGTTGGATGAATTCAAAGAATATTTATCGTAGATCGAATTCTCATCAAAGTCCAATTACTTTAATACGTCATTATTCGTCAAAGTGAGTCCATGTGCTCAAGAGTCCATTTTAAAATGTTTCTAACAATTTTCCATCTCCCATTATCCGAGCCAAAAAAAGGAAATAGTCGAGCCACGTTTCCGTGATCACGAAATATCCGCTCGAACCCTTTGACCAACAAAACGGAAAACACACAACCGAAGAGCAGCAATCAAAGGCCGAAACGTCCGTGTCTTTTCAACTCCGGTTCGAGAGGAAATTCTTGAATGTAAATCTCTGGGGCGCATTAAAAGTCACGGTTCGGCCGCCCGGAGTAATTTTCTTGCTAAGGGAAAGAAAAAGGGTGGCTTTCATGTCCCCTGAACAAGAGCTGCTTTGCTGATAGCGCGATCTGCTACTACGTCAGTCCACCAGACCGTTCAAAAGGACTTTTCCTGTTTCCGTTCATTGTCTCCAATTTATTTGATCAAATAACAATGATTAAAAATATAAAATTTTGTTATGTCAGGAGGCACATTTATATGAAATCTTGAAATTTACATTGGAGGAGAAACCTTAAAAGTGTGTATTAGTAATTTCTAATCTTCGATGTCATCAAACAGTTCCAAATGAGATTGACTGAGATCATATAATTCTTGAAACACGTGCCTGATTAACAAAGCAAGGTTGAGAAGCTTTAAAATAATATAGATTATAGATATACATATATTTCATACCTCCAATAAAACAATTGCAATATGATACATTTTAATAGCATATGATTTTTACTATTCAAAATATGGTTCTAAATGTAATAAGTATTGCATTATTCATTAGACAAATGTATAATATGTGCATATGAAAACTGAAGTATTCTCAATGTTTTTATTTCCTAACGTTTCATATCTTCAGTAAAATAATTACAATGTGACATATTATAATAGCATATAATTTTTGTTATTAAAGATGTAATATAAAAGCTAAAGTATTCTAAATAAGGTCACCAAAAGTACTTTTGGTATACAGGCGACCTTTTTTAAAAATCGTGTCAGTGCATTAGGTCAACCAAGAACCTACCCATTTAGCACATTGAATATTTATCACTGCCTTTAAGAGTACCATTATTTGAAAACGTCAAAGCGCGTGCACTTTGTGTACCCGTTCATAAAAATATCAAAAATACATCGAAAGTGCTTTTACCCTAAACTTACCTTAAAAGCGTTTAAGTATTGCTGTTACAAATCAGCTATAGAGGATCCTGTCTCCTTCGACAGTTTGATCGCTTCCATTTCATGTTTAGAATTATTACGTTCTTAAAAAGATAAATCAGGTCTACTTAATAAATAAAAATTATGGTCAATAACTATGCATAGATAAAAATGAGATTAAATTATAATATTAATATCAATATATATAAATGTAATATCAATAATAAATCATAATTATAGTTGAAAAATTTACGGAAAGTATGCAATTAAAACTAGTAATGAACCAGTGGATAGAATATAAGGAATGATAAAATCGTCAACCGCGGTCGAATGCGTGAATTCTGAAAAAGCTGCGATGCAGTAGGGAATTCGAGAACACAACGTAGATAAATGATTCAATAAAACGTCGCGCGTCGAACGGTAAGTAATAACGTATTCAACGACGCGGGGCCTGGAGATTTGGTCTGGCGCCGTAAAAACGGGGCGACACGCCGCGTCGCGTGTCCACGGGGAATCTTCGGATTATGGCGAATCTGGGGCAGCAATTTAATTTTCAGAAACGTCCCTGAATCCCTCCCTGCTCTCGCGTATCCTATCAACTCGACTATATCGAAGATATCTTTGCTGCGAATATGTGCTCTTTACACGTTCGTTTCTCCTTGATACAACATGTTTTTTACGTAGTCTGCCTGTGCAGTGATCAAGTACCTTTTTATTAAAAATGCATTGTTAATCAAGATTGTTTTTATTTTACAAATTATTGAAAATGCATTGAAATCACATATACTGATTAAGTTTTAAGAACAGAAGAAGAAAAGAGAGAGAAGAAATTGGGCTTTAGTTGTGGTTTCCAACAAACTGGGCCAACGATTTCTGTCAACGCGTCTCTTTTCCCGCGATAACTCGAAAGTCAGCAAACTTTCTCGACCCCCTTGCTCGTTCCACCATGTAAACTTATAAATTCAACGTGATGTATTTTTCTTATCTTTGAGAGACTCGACTGCCCTCGGTTTTCCCCAACGCTAAGAATTGATCAATTCTATACGAAAAGTCATCTCTTCTTTTACATAATTCTCTAGACTTCTTCAACTTATTTAATTATTTTTATATCAAATGCAAAGTCTAACTTCGTACAATGAATAAAACGTTTAGAATTCGTCTTCCATTTTATTTCCACGGATGTTTCAAGGTGCGGCATTGTATTAAAAATTTATTGTTTGCACGAGAAAAATTCGACTGTGAAAGGGTTCAGAATACGACAGCATATTTATATTTTTTCTACGCGTTAGATAATACGTTGTTAGGGTGGTGAAAAGACAGTGTCGCGGACAGAAAAGGAGGACATTTTCCAGGTGGAGAGTGACATTGTAATGGGAACGTGCGGCGCGTTCAGAGGTATCGTAGTACTCGACCGCGTTCAAAGGAAGTACAACACTGGTTGAAAAAAGATGTCCCTTTGATACCGTGGAAAACGCTTATACCGCGAGGAAGGAGAGAAGGAAAAAGGGTGAGCCTCGCCTCGCACGCGGAGGGTTGAAAGCACTATTCTGGGTTAGAGAAAGTAACTTCTCTCCGTGAGTGTGGCCAGGTTAATAGTATACTATACTTCCAGCGACGTATAGCGCCGTCATAAACGTCGTAAACAGAAGTCTTCACGGTCATTCATATAATTAATCAAGTGTGCGTTTTATTTTGCAAAAAGTTGCCATGAATAATCTTACGTGTTCTCGAAAGCTTTCTTGGCTTCAAGTATTTCTTTCTCAGTACTTTTATAGTACAAGCTCGAGGCTTTTAGTACAGAATTATCATGACATATAATTCAGGTTTACGATTGGCTGTTCCTAATAAAAAATAATAAAGTAGAGGTAATATAGATTATAGCTAATGTCTATGTGTATAAAACAGACGCACAAAACGGTCATTATAAATTTTCCATATTCCGGAGGAGTGGAAGTAAATCTCAATCCAAGTTTTGCTTCTCGCGAGAAACACTTCAGAGAATAAAGTTTCACCCTAACGCTGGAAGTAGCGTAGCAGCCGCGAAACTTGGCCACCGATGCCTGAGACGGTGGAAGTTCGACGTTAACCCAGAAAGTGAACTTCCTGCGAACCGAACTCCCGATGATGCTAAATGACTCTTTCCTTATCTACCCGAATGGCTGTCCTAATTCCGCCGGGTCCAAAGATCCTTGAAAATTACCTTTCTTTTTCTCTACCTGCTCACTTACTTCGTTTCTAACATTTAATCC